CTCCCTCTTGCACCACACCATCAACGTGCATCCCAAATGTCTACCTCAGGCCTACTCTTCGTGTTCGGCGAAGCCGGACCCCTGCTCCCTGACGCCGACTTCCACTACTGGTACAACAACGAGCATGTCCCACTGCGCATGGCCATCCCGGAGTTCCTACACACAACGCGCTGGATCGCCACCGACGGCAAGGTGCCGAGCTACCTGGCCACGTACGACCTCGCCTCGCTTGGCGTGCTCGACATCCCCCCGTACTCGACCTTCGCGAGCACGCGCAGCGCGCGCGAGACCGACGTCATCTCGCGCGTGCAGCTCCTCGACAGGCGCACATACCACGTCCTCGAGCCCGTCTTCCCCCCCGCTCCCGACTACAACCCGCATGCGCCTGGGCCGTGCCTCATCACGATGCAGATCGACGTCGAGCCTGGACTCGAGGATGAGCTGAATCGGTGGTACACGGAGGAGCACATCCCGCTTCTGTCAAAGGTACCGGGGTGGCGGCAGTCGCGGCGGTTCGTGCTGAAGGAGGCGGGGCCGGCGAAGGGGACGGACGCGGCGACGGTAACGAAGCAGCCGCCGAAGTACTTGGCGTTGCACGAGTGGGCGTCAGAAGCGAGCTTCGACACGGCGGAGTTCAGGCGCGCAACGAGCACACCGTGGCGGATGAAGATGTTCCATAGCGCGATGACGTGGAGTGGGCGGCGGTTTGAGGTGATGAAGACGTGGTCCCAGGAGCAGTAGCAAGGGTGGATACTGGGTAGCCGATCGAGAATACCTATTCGGATTCCTTATGTATTGTCAATGGAGATATGACAATAAGCCAGAATGTCTGGGCAAAGTTTTGAGAAGTCAATGGCGATTGTGCATAGTGCATGTTGGTTGAGCACCTGGACTCTGACCACGGAGGATACAGCGCCCTGCAAAATCATAGGCCGCGCTCGAAAACCCACGTACAGGCGACTCCCAGATCCGACAGAGATGACTACCATACAAAGCAACCAAGCCACCTGGATTCCCACCCATTGGGGCAATATTGCGGCGACGAGTGGTGCTGATGACCTTGAATGGTAGGTCGGATGACAAAATGCTCAAGCACACGTTTCCTAGCGCGCGACCTGCAGAGCGCTTACTTTGTGGCGTTCCATCCCGGTCATCATGTTCCAAGCTCTTTACGCCACGTTCCTTTAAATTATCTCGGAATAGCAGCTCCATAGTAGTACAGCACTCGCAACAATAGTTGAGAACAGTAAAGTACTATGCAGCTGCACAACGAATGCTTAATCCTGCTCGCTAACGTGACTTGCCTGGGATATCAGTCAATATGGCAGTCAAAACGCCGCCCATGCCCGAAGAACGGTTGATGGCTCCGCGGTTTCCCCAATGGAGCAGCCCGTGGCAAGTGAAGATGTCAGACCATTGATTAACTTCCAAGCAGCCCGCCTTATAAACCTCGCGACAGTGCCAAGCCGACGTTGTCTCCCGTGAACTCGGTTCACCATGTTCAACAAGTCGCGAGCGTACGCATCAGTGATTCCTGGTGCGCAGTCAGGGATTTGAAAGTATTGATGATACTCAATATCACCATAGCGCATCCGCCTGCGAATCCGGAGGATGCCATGAAGCAGGCGCTCCTCGCCGTGGTGCAGGTCTGGCTAGACCGTCTGCAGTCCATGGCTGTCGTCGTGAGTTTCATTAATACACTCCGCAGCTTTCCCAGCCCGACCCACAATCTCTACCCGCGTTAGACGACCTTCTTTGTCTCCATCGACAGCCTCTTGTTCTCGCTGACCGCAGCAACGCGAAGTGCCGACCTTCACACCTGGACGAAGAGGGATCAAGTCATAAACGCTAGCCTCGGTGGCGCATTAATCTTCCATGCATGCTCCTGTACGTCCCCTGATCTTGCGATGCACTTGTCTTCGATAGACCACCTATTATTGTTATGTGCAACGTACGCTGTACAGTGGCGGCTATCTCTGCCAAAAACCTCCATAGAGGCGCAAAGACATGTCTATGGCATAGATAGGTTGTGCCGATAGCTGCGAGAAGTCAGTCGGCGATTTCTACTTACTTGAAATGGACTGCAGTTGACAACGGGAAAATGGGACACTGATGCTGTTGCTGCCCAGCCATTGTCGCCTACATTGGTTCTTTCGTACTCATCCGATACCGCCTCACAAACGCAGAACAACAGGAAGAAGACACGCTCAGCCGACCCCAGACCTCGTCCCCTCGCAACGCCGCCTCCGAAAAGCGCCGGATGCAGAGCACGAGCGCTCACCGCCCTTCGGCGTCGATGGGCTCGACCGCCGCCGTGCCAGGCTCCCCTATGGATACCCTCCGGGACGTCCCAATCGAGCTATACACGGACCTGCGCGCGCTCGTGACCGTGCGCCGCGTGCACCCACTCTCCTTCCTGCAGCGCGGCACACGCGGGCGCAGCGCACCCGCGGGGAAGCGCGACCCCGAGGCGTCCGTGAGGGACACCGCGGTCGCGGCGCTCGAGGGCATCGTCGGCGTGCTCTCGCGCGCGCACACAATGTGCGCGTGCATGGCGTCGCTCGGCTTCGTTCTCGCGCTCCTCGGCATCCTCACATACTCTTGGACGGCCGTCCCGACGAGTTTGGGCATCTTCGCGAGCACGTGCATGGGCGCGTGTGGTATTGCGGCCGCGGTCGCGTTCTGGTGAGCGCGCAGCGCTTCGGCGCGTGCGCACTGCGTGTGGTCTCCATTCCCGAACTCATTAACTTTGTGACAATATCCCGGCTCATGTGTTGACGACCGATGGGCGCGCAGCAATGTACTTACCGTTATGATGCAAGACGGTGGGAGCCGCTCTGCAGGCCGCACGCAAAACAGCGGACTTTTTGACTTTGCAGCACCTTGGAAGCACAGCTCTACGCGGCTGACGCCTCTGAAGTTCCATTTACTTCGGAAGGCCCTGCGTGGTCACGTTGTAATAGGGTTCTATCAGTGCTGCTTGATCATTTCCGTCTCTGCAGCATTGTTCACCTACCGCAGCACTGGCCAGTTGCTGCGGGCCTCGTTGCATCTGCCTACTGTGTAGTAACCCTCGTATTTCTTGAAGCTGGAGAGCTCCTCGGCGTGAGCATCCTCCTCTCCCGATTTCTGTCGTACCCCTACAGGTTGACGACTCTTGTTCGCGTGCCAGGCCTCCTCCAGTGCCTCACACTGCACTGATACCTGTCCAGAGCTCGCAATAATGCCAGCGACACTCGATAACCCTCCCGAGTATTGGCAGCCTCGTCCCGATCCGCCTCCAGAAGGGAACCCCCACTCTCCGTACGAGGCTGTTCCCCGCGACCATCCTCGCGAGTGCCGCCGGAGCTTCACTTACGATGGCCCTGGGCGAGAGGGCGGTCACGACACTCAATGGTGTATGTTGTCACTATCTGTCCTATCTTTATGCGTTTGGCCTGACAAGCCTGCATTGCATTGTACAGATCCCCGCTACCGTGAAGGGTATCACTCCCACAGAATCGACGACGACGACGGGTGGTCCCTGGCTCCGCGCAACAAGGCGGAGGACGGAGAGTACCGTCCGAGTCCGCCATACCGCGAGTACGCGCCCTCCCACCGTGCGCACCAGACGTACTACCCGCGCGCCCCGCGAGGGACCTACTACCGAGGGGCCGGACGCCCGTGGCGGGGCGGGCCTCCCTCCGAGTTGAGCGTGTCCCCGCGTTTCCCGCCCGAAGACCTGCACCGGACGCACCCCGACCTGAACCCCGCCGCGCAGCAGTTCACTCCGGGACGCGCGCGGGGCTCGTGGCGCGGCGTCCGTGGCGATCGCGGTCGCGGTGGACGTGGCGGAGGACGCGGCAGCGGGAGGGGCAGGGACACGCCCCGGTCTGCCAGTGCCCACGGGGGCGAGGTCGACATCAACGCGTACATACAAGCGGGCTTTGAGGGCCCGCCCTCCGAGCCGCCTGCTGCTGTCGATGCTGGCGCACGTCCGGTGCGCGAGGGGGACGCCAGATCATCCGTGCTGTCTCCCCGGACGGGGGAGACGCATGGACAATGGGCAAGCCACGCGCAAAAGGAGGCTACCGAAACAAGGGCAAACGGCGACGAGGAGCGGCGACCGGATATCACCCATCCCCAGCTTCCAAATGGCAAAACACCTTCTACCAAGGCGAGCCCGTCCCCACACCCCGCTCATGGCGGCGCAGACGGCGCGGCTGTCAAAGTCACCCCGGAGGATGGCCCGTCGATCTCTCACCATGCACGCACGACGGGACACGTCGCTCTTGAGGCCGAAGCCCCTATTACTTCACTTTCCAGCAACCCTGCAACGATCAGCAAGCCACGTCCGGAGGGCGGCCTGGAGGGGTGCTCCCGCAACGCGATCGGACTGCGCGACCTATGCCCATCGGTATCCGCGTCGATCCCAAGTCCCTGCGGCACGGGACGTAGGCCCAGTGTCTCCGATGCAACCGCTATCGTGCCGACTGGCCCAATAGCACCCCCGCCCGGGCTCTCACTCCCGCCCGCCGCTCCAGCGACGACCCCGCCCTCACCGACGATGATACCTCTCCCCCCCTCGGCGGACCCGTCAGAAGCGGCAGACACAGAGTCGGGGTGGAGCAGTGGCCCGCGCACACCGCGCCTCTCGCCCGACCGTGGATCCCCCCACGCCGAGCGCATGCGCCAGGGGAAGCTCCGCCGGCTTGAGGCGCGCGTCGACCTGCTGTCAGCCCAAATGGAGATTTTGCAACTCGAACTTGAGGGGGTGCGGGAGCAGGTGCACGCGGAGGTGTACGGCGGCGATGGGGGCGATCTCTAGTTTGGACTCGGAGGGATCGTGCGGTCCTGTTCTTGGAGCTTCAAGCACTGTCGATATAGGACATACTGTAGTGATCAAATAGAATTCTGTGCTGCTTACTGGTTAGAATGCAATTGTTGTCGTCATGATTGTTACAGTATCGTGGAATTACCTGCCTTTGGGTGCCGATTGAGGATCAGGAGAGGGAACAAAATGGACACGTCCGGGATTGAACCGGACCCCTCTCGCACACCAGCAGAGAACAAGTGCTAAGCGAGCGTGATAACCAACTACACCACGTGCCCAATTTTAGATGATTTAATGCAGTGGTTCCGTTTGGTTGGAGGCGAAGATACAATCGTTAGGGCACCCAACAGTCTTGAGTCACTCACTGAGGCTAGGAATAGTACACTCTCTGTTACCCATCACCGGCACCGCTTGTGCAACCTTGAATTCAAAGGTTCAATCGAAGGAACTGAGTGTACATCGTAAGACGGTACATATCTTTTGACATATGAAGCTGAAGGGAATGGGTTGTGTCAGATTTGTTTTGCGTGGAAGACTCCTGGGATACTGCTATAATTGTATGTGGGTCCGGAAGAGACGCTGTTACATTTAGATGCTAACCCAGCCTTCGTCTGGTGTTTGGGTGCCAGTATCAGAGCGGTTGCTGAGAAGAGTACCCACAGTGCCATACGATGAAGCGGTGTTCGTGTCAGCCCGTTGAGAACGCGCCTCAAGAGCGATGCGAACGTGTGCCCACTGCTCCGAACGGGGACCCTCGACGCTGGAGAACCCCCCACCATCGCTTGCAGGTTCTCCAAGAGACTCATAAGGCGCGAGCGAAGACGCGCGGGAGGGCATCACGGAGCTGACGGCGGAGGACGCGGCGGACGGCGGCGAAGGCGTGCACTCCCGCTGGCCCCGGTTCCATTCGACCGGCTCGGGATGCGGGCCGACATGGACGAGCTCCATGCTGCTCGTCTTCCGGAGTCTGCCCTGGCGCTCGTCGAACCGGAGGAGGTCCTCGCGCTCCCGCTGGTGGCGCTCGAAGATCTCGTCCCAGAGGCTTTTGGCGTTCGCTTGGACGTGCGTGCGGATCGCCCAGGTGGTGTCGAGGACGCCCATGTGCATGACGTCCGCCCACTCGCCCGCGCTCCCCACGACGGCGCGCCGGTGCACGCCCTCGTGCGAGAAGCCGAGCGCAGCGAAGAGGCTCCGCGCGCGGTTGCTGTGCGGCGAGGAGACGATGCGCGCTTGCACGCGGTGCACTCCGAGCCCCTCGATCGCGAATTGCACTGCGAGCTCGCATGCGCGGCGGCCGAGGCCCTTTTGCCGGAAGTCGGGGAGGATGCTGATGCCGATGTAGCATTCTCTGGGAATGGGGGATTGAGAAATGTACAGTGCACCCACTGTCTCCCACACGCGTTTGGTCTGACGTGCCTGGCAAACCTCATGAGAGCGGTTCTGGCATAGACCACCGGGACTCACCTTCACGTTTAGCGTCTGCAGGTCCCACATATAGGGGTTGGAGATCCCTGCTGCAGTGGGCTGCTCGACTGGCGATTCAGTCTCGACTAGGGAGGAGCAGGACCAGAGAACGGCGGCAGAGTACAGACAAGACGAGTCGGCGAAGTCGAGCAATGGCGGCTGGCCCGCAACCAGGGAGTCGACCGAAACAGGACCGAGTTCGTCCCATGCTTGTAGCAGAGCCTCGTAGTTTGCGGCACCTCCCACGAGGTCGGTTTCGAGCACGACGGGGTCCACGCCGAAGTCGGTGACGCTGGCAGGTACACCCGATGCAGACGATCTTGCATTAGCGACGGATTGGGGTATGGCGGGAAACATCGCAGAGCTGTCGAATCGGCGCGATTAGTTGGGTTCGACAGAGGTGGACAGTGGTGAAGATGTACCCCGTCGGGATGCTGCAGCTGTGATGAGGCTGCAGAGCTGACTCCTCGACTGAGGACTGCGCGTTCGGTACCTCACGCATCGATGTTCAACTGCGGAACCGCCGAACTTGATAGAGTTTGGCAGATGAGGTCCCAGGCCACCACCAGCAGCCGTACTGCACCGGCGTGCGTCAGACGACCAGCTGGAAACCTTTGTTCTTCTCTTGTCTGACTATAAGACTGCCAAACTGGAGGAGAGAAATCCGGACAAAGATTGATTCTAGCTGAGATAGGTCACATAGTAGCACTGCATATGCCTGCACAAGTTAGAAACCACTGAACCTTGAAGTTGAAGGAGTCATTGAGACACCGGGGCACAGCCACCATCGTTGCCAGCTGCCCGCCCTTGTCATCAGAGTCTCTATATGAGTATGCAAGACTTCGGCAAGGTGACTGTTGAATTTTCAGGGGAAAGCGGGGGAAAACAGTCAAACGGCTAGAGGAGCCGAGCCGGTGGCAGTAAGAAGCAAACGGGCGCAGAGCTTGAACTTTGCGCCGGATTTGCGCGGCTGAGCCTGTGCCACAGACGCCCGGCAAATGCGGGGTGAGAGAAACCAGCGGCTTGGATTCAAGTTCTGAGTCGGCACCTACAGAACCACGACCGTGTCCCGACGCCCGAGGTACGCTGCACCAGAACCTTCGACTGCTCTACTATACAGTAGCTCGGTTGCCCCTCGACAACATTAGTGTCTTAGCGCGCCGGCAGAAAGAGCCGTGTGCAATCTTCCCAGGGCCCGAGGCCACCGTTCGCAACCGACAAATGTTCCCTGAATATAGCGAGCCTTCAGCGTTCAAGTCCACCTCTTGATGAGGAAGATCATAAAGTACGCTACTGTTCCGAACGGACAGCTTTTGCTATCACGCTGGTTCCTCCCGTGCACGTCTGAGACAGAGGCACCAATGCACTAGACTCATACATTTGTTTCGCACTCAACGGCGTTTCGCGAGGGGGCATAGAGCTTCTATTGGGACAACAGGACGTGTAAATATTGCGTATTGTATACATAATGATATTTCCAATGATACCACCGCACTAATCCCGAGCTACATTTTCCAGCTGTGGCGGAGCAGGGTATGTCGAGCAGAGCCACATCTATGCGTCCCCCGAGATACCGCCATGCTCTGCGCGCTGTTCATAGGCGACGTTTAGACCAACTCGAAGGCCTTCCCGCCGGCCTGCGCGTCAAGCTTGACAATTTCGTTCAACCCTGGGAATGCGCACAGTCAAGTCAGCATGCCGTGCTGCATGAAAAACACTGTCAGAAGACGCACCCATGACCTCAAAGAACGCCTTCGGGTCCATGCCGCGGGCGGAAGTGAAGTCCGTTCCCGTCTTCTTCAGCGACTGCATCGCTGCGCGGATCCCGTGGACGGCGGCGACACAAGACACGAGCGAGAAGACTGCCGAGCGCGTCAGCATCTGCCGCAGCCTCCTCCCAAGGAAGCGCACTGCAGGGCACTCACTGATGATCTTCGCGCCGTACTCCTCCGCCTGCTGCGTGGTGAACGAGGGCGTGAGCCCGCCCGAGATGACGTTCACGAGCACCGGCTTCGGCGCGAGCGCGGCGACGGTGGCCTTGAGCAGGTCCGCGTTGCGCACGCCCTCGATGAAGCACACGTCCGCGCCGGCGTCCGCGGCGAGCTTCAGGCGCGCGACGGCCTCGTCCATGCCGAGCACCTGCGCCGAGTCCGTGCGGCCGATGATCACAAAGTCGGACCCGCCCGGGATCGCGTCGCGCGCGATGACCGCCGCGCGGATGCGCGTGACGAATTCCTCGCGCGAGACGACCTGCTTTCCTAGGAGGTGCCCGCAGCGCTTCGTCTGCACCTGGTCCTCGATGTGCAGCGCCGCGACGCCCGCCCGCGCGTACTGCGTCACCGTCCGCGCGACCATCGCCGGCCCCCCGAAGCCGGTGTCCGCGTCCGCGATCACCGGCACGGTCGGGTCGAGGCTGCAGACCATCTGCGCGCTCTGGGACACACGCGTCGGAAGTGAGATCGGAGGCGGTGTGCGGAGAAGTGCGGGGACGTACCTGGACGAAGTCGTTCAAGGTTGCAATCGCGAGGTCAGGCTGACCAAGGCGAGAGGCAGTCGTCGCGGCACCGCTGTTGGCATGCGTCAGTGATGAGTCCTCGCGCAACCATGAGCGACAATGTATCACCTCTGGTACAAGCACTCGAACCCGGCTTCGAGCGCACAGCGGGCACTGATGCCATCGCAAATGCCGGGGGCAACCTGTTCAAAGGTAATTGAGATACCGATGCCATCGTAACTACCTCGCGCGGCTTACCACGATGCCAGGGCGAGCGAGCAACTGCCGGAGACGGGTTGCCGGGTTCCACGAGAGAGGACCCTCGAGGTAGTGCTTGGGGTCGAGGCGGGCGTTGTAGTAGACTCCCGGAGCGGGCGCGGGAAGGCTGCGAGGCACAGGCGCCGCATTGGACTCGTCAGAGGAGTCGTTCTGCTCCTCAGCCACCGCGGACACCGGAGCAGGGGCGGGGGCGGGGGCAGGGGTGGGGACTTCGACGACGGTGGTGCCGTTGGCGGGGTTGCTGCTGCCAAAGAGGTCGAGGCCGGGCATGTTTGATTGGATAGAGAGGGGGGAGAAGAAAAGAAGAGGTGGAGGTTGTGGAAGCAGTGAGTAGTCGAGCTCGGGTGGTTGAGCTGGGCGATGAGGATTCTGCGCGCGGCGCTGTGGTTTATAACTGCACGGCCGCGCGGTACAAAAAATGAGTGCGTATGAGGTGAGAACAGTGCGACGGTCTCGATCGTTTGGCAAAATGCTGGAACGCGGAGGAGGCGTCTCGCACGGGATCACCCATTGGGCGACACTCGCGCAAGACCGAGTTCGGGTGTAGCGGGAGGAGATGTGCGGCGTTAGACTTCTGTCGTCGCCGATACGCGTGGCACGTCCGCCCCGTGGCATGCGCCTCTGTTCTCACCGACAGAGAAGGCTGCTCTACCAATCTGGCTGTCTTGGCAGACGCCGCGGGGGCAGTGTGCGACGCGCTCCGGAAGGCGAACAGAGGCACGGGGGATCTTGCACCTTGCTCAGAGGCTTGGCAGAAACGACATGAGCTTGGTAGGCACAGATCATGCGTGGGGGCAGGCGTCCGGAGAACGCACAAATGGCTGCCTGGCTGCTATCAGAGCCGGACAGGCACCGTGATTTTCGCGAAATTTCGGGCGTGAGGTGTCCCCCGCTCGCGGCGATAATGCGGGTACTACCAATCAAACGACATATGCACACTCGGGTGCATTTCTTCGCTGGGTGCCCCCGGGAACATATGCACAACGACAGTGTCCTTGCACCGGGGGAGAGGTGATGGGGCGCGGTGGGAATACAGCCGCA